TTTGAGGCCCGCTCTCGGAACCCTTGAGCCACGGCTCGTACCACTGTTGATCACCACATATCTTCGTCCCCACGTTGAATATGTGGTTCAGGCCTGGCGTCCATGGTTAAAACGAGATATTTGCATCTTTGAGCAACCCCAAAGTAGGGCTACCGAGGCAACACGTGGACTATCCGGTCTCAGTTACGATTTGCGCCTTCGTTTGCTTGGTGTCCGCTCCTCAGAATACTGACGGCTTCGCGGGGATTTCGTCCTTACCGGATATTTACTGAAAGCGAGCACTCATGTGCATCACTGCTGACCCTAGCCCTTACAGACAATGTCGAGATCATCACCTAAAACTAGAGACGCAACACCCGTCGTTTGGATTGTCGAAAGTCTTTTTAATCTCTGAGAAGCTGTTCCTACTGGAATGTACTGCCAACACATGTGATGAACGCACAAAACATCGCAAGGTTCGAGGGAATTCTAGACTTCCATCTTAGTGTTAAATGCTACACAACAGTGTGATAAAGTTCGATGTCTTGACCACTGTTGATTTACATTCCACTTTGGAACATATTTGATGTTAATTTTCTTGTGCATTTTCCATCCTGTGGGTCTTGTAAAGTTATGATTTTTATCTTCTCATACACTACTGAACTAGTGAACTATTGGGAAACCGTTAGATTTTCGGAGTCGAACTCTGATACCAGTCGGGTGCCGCTACGCACAAATTGAAAAAGAAATGCTTACGATTACCTACGCAGTCGAAGATTTCAACGAGTATGCTATCAGGCAAAAGATGAGCTGGCTCACTGGTCACAAATCCTTAGTCTTAAATGCCAAAAAGCCATTCCACGCGGTGCCCAGCCACTTTCAGAGATCCTTATTCGGTTTCACAAATATCATTTTGGGCTTGTCTATCGCCGCAGATACCACGTGTGCATTGTGGATGTGCTATCGAGAGCTCATATGGAACGTATGCGAATCTAGATACGGTCCACCATACACAGAACCTCGCCGGTGCCGGAGAACGATTTCAGCTAATACGACAATGCACAGAGGAGGATGCCGTCCGTAAAAGTCTAGAACGGGAATTGTGGGCGGAGGACGGGAGGGTAAAATTATTTTCCGCCGGAGCAGACACCGTTCTTCCATTTTCCTGAGGAGTTCGCCGTGGAAGATAGCTTGAAGTTCAAAGGCAATTGGGTGTTGATCTAAAATATAATGAACCATGATATACTGCAAATCGTTCACAGTGCACATTTGGGAATTAACCATTACGTCTTATGCACAAAGGAATGATGTTTTGTCTTGGAATGACCAGTCATATTCATGACCATGGGTTAAGCTATGCAACTTTTCAGGCGTACGATGTACGACAAACGAAGGTGATTTAGGAGAGATCGTGGGAAACATTGGCAGTGGACTTATTCACGCATGACGGAAACAAACACTTGACCACTGTAGACACTTACACCGATTGTTTTGAGCTTGATACTCTACCTACAAGCAAAGCTCAGGCTGTGGTGAACAAGCTAAGCTGTCATTTTGATCGACATGCAATCCTGGACGAAGTGGACTCGGACAGCTAGTCACAGTTTACTGCATAATAATTCGGGGATTTCAGTAAGAAATCGGGATTCAAGCATTGCCATTCGGGCCTTTACCACAGATAGTCCAACGGCAAAGCAGAGTCAACGGTAAATGATGCAAGCAGATTACTAATCAATGCGAGAGAATTACCTGATGATCCTTAAATTACCCTACTCGAGCGAAGAAACATTCCGTCTCCGGAAATCGGGGTGAGCTCCGCTGAAGGGTTGTTTGGCTGCAGAACGAGAACATTGCTGCCCACTGCCAAAATTCTGTTCCAACCGAAAGCACCATCACCAGCTATGATGTAAAGCCGTTTGAATACACGAATGCTCTGTCAAAAACTCTGATATAATCGAGGATCAGAGTAGTGTTGCAGCAATTTCACATTGGTGAGGTTATGTAGATACACGTGGCAACCGGAGTTTTAAAAAAACTGTGGAGGCGAGGAGCTGCAGAAACTCACGCATGAGAGAGGTTACGGAGTCAGAGTGGACAACTGGTAGTATCGAGGAAAGTTGATTCATCTGAAGCGACATCTACCAGGTAACGCGATTGCGGGTGAGCAACAAGATCAACAAGATAGTACTGATCTGGAGGTAGATTACAGCAAGGTGATACCCAACGTCAGAGTGTACCGCGCCTCAATGATTGACGGACCAGAACAGAAAAAGGTAGCGTGGGGCGAGAAGCGAAACCAGGAAACCGCTCTACCAGCTCTGTGCAAACGAATGCCAGGCTAGATTGTGCAAACAAGAGGAAGCTGTTTGGCCGGACGTTCAGCATGTCGCGAGAGCAGAAGCGTGAGAACCACCAAAGCTGTGCCAACGAATGCCGAGCCAAAGCATGTTATCGGGTCTGGCTCGGTGAGGCTGGAATCCATTTGGCCGAATGTTAGAAAGAGAACAGTTTGAATGCCAATGTCACGACTGCTTGCCTAGGCTGCGATGGCCTGGCCGGAAAGGTGCGATGAGGTACAAGGCCAACGAGACGGGTGCCGTACCCACTAATGGATCTCTCTGCAATGTTCTGTGATGCATAAATAAAGCTTTGTTTTTAGAGTGAATAGTGTCTTAGTCACCGCGCAGTCCAAATTCTGCATTTCGTAAGTGTAGCACAACAATACCTTAGGGCACTGATGTGTGCTCAGTGTAGCTCATGACAACGTAACTCAGTGGAGTTTGGATAATCAATTCATGTGGTAGACGTTATGTGGAATGATGTAGAGTATTGTATGCACGAAGGGGTTATCTAAATAACTATTGGATCAGATAATAGATGACGAACCTGTGGCCAATATCAAGCGCAAACCTACCCCTCGAATCGACCACAAATGTAACGCTTGTCGTTTTATTAGTAGCGGTCATGCGTTTTCAATTCACGAGCCATGACCTTGCTTGTGTATTCAAGTTTAGAGCAGCGAAAGGTGTTTTATTGAGAATACTCATCTGTAGATTCACAAAAGCTGAAATAATTGCTAGCGTGCTGAAGGAGAATAGGTGGTAGTTATTGTACGGGGCCCATCAACCGTCTCGGGGGATCGTATTTGGATCACAACCCTGCGGCTATTCACTGTAAGCAATTCGTATAAATGGTGCTAGGTGTCATCGACCAATCGCCTGAGTTGGCCGATCGATTCGTTTAACTTGATGGCATCACCGCCTCCTTTAGACCCATCGCGGAGGAGCTTATTGCAATATCAACAATGCCCTTTAGGAATTTCATATTCTCTATCATCTGTGGAGACGTCAGGATGTAGACCTGTCGTTTAAAGGTTAGATGCGCTAGGAAGCTGCAACGGCATTATTGCAGTGTGGGTCAGAAACCTTGCCACTACGTACTGAAGGGATGAAGAGATTGGTCGTCTTCGAGCACGGAGGTTATTGAGTATCGTTAACATTTGGTAGCAGAATCTAGGAACAGTACTGAAATCTGTCACTTGGCGTTTAGACAGAAACAATCCACATCGCATTGTCTACTGAAATTGAACCGCCCGTTCATTCCACTTAGGTGACTATAGTTACGGTTTGGAGGTGCGCTGGATTCCGTTACCGCAAATCTTGGCGCCAAGATAAAAATATTTGGCAATGATGAGTAAGCTGTGGCAGCAAGCAAATGAAGTACAATAATTGAGGCTTCAGGAAGTGTGTGTACTTAATTGGATTAACAAGCCAGTAGTTAACTGAAGGAGACGGAATGTGGCAGCAACACTTAGTCCGCAACCGCACCATGTCGAATAAAACCTTAAACTGCTGATGTAGCCCCATGCAGGAGGACAGCCGCTGCAAGTCTGACCTATTTTCCCTGTTGATTTATTCTAAACTTTCAAAAAATTCGTTAACTAACCATCCCAAAAATACGTTCAAGTGTATCACCAAGGTTTCCTATGAGATTCTCTATTTCAAAGCGAACTTCAGCTTCAATCAAGATTGCGTGCCACAATCCAGGCAAAGGGTGGATACTCCACGAACCAATTATGAAGTTCTAAACGCTGTGTCATGCACTGCTCGCAGGGCTCTTGTCAAGTGATTAAGACTAACGCTGTGAGCCACTATTTCGAACTGTCTTTACCTGACAAGTCTAACTCTGGACGAAACCGATCGGTCGTGGATTGCAGTGTCGGTGGAAAGAAGCTCCAAATCGCTCCACTCCGGATGTGGTCCCAATGATCGAAATGGTATAAGTTTGCTTAAAGCAAACTGTAAACTAAATTGAGATTGCTTATCACAATCCAGACACTCAGCGGGAAGTCCAAGACCCAACAATGAGATTCGCTACCACGTTTGAATTTGAACTCCTTTTCTCAAAAATAATCCACTAACAAATGTAAAATGGAGCCACCTGTCACGGCACAAACCACCAGCATAATAATACTTATACTTAATCATTAAATTTATTATTTCACTTATAGAGACATTAGCTATCTGTGAGATAAATGACCTAGAAATCAAGTCACCAGACGGGAATGTGGTGGGCCTGAAATAAGTGAACGTATTTGCGGGAGACACCGACCTCGATTGTTCCCGAGCTGATGGAGTGTCGAGCGACTGTCATGATTGATCTCAGGGTTCCCATCAGAGAAGACAACAGCCACCAGCCATACAAACACCGATGAATTTCTCCAGCTATCTAATTGCGGTATTGAAGAATAACGAAAAACAATTCGTGATAGACAGGTTTCCAGCACAGTAGGGTCAACCTGCTCCAGAAAACACTGCAAACATACCAGAAGTTGATACAGTAATCATTTGAACAAATGTTCGACACCTCGGAACTAGATCAAATTTCCAAACCCCGGCTGTGATGTGGCTAGGCATTCACTAACTGCGTGTCTAATAAAGGCGCGTTTATATGTCGGTATGTGAGGCATAGAATGGCCAACGGCCTTAAAAAATTGACTTAACTGCGCTAAAGTCACTCACTTTCTTCACAATGGTCGCCGCGCCACCCTGGATCGCACTCACACTGGTAATCATCTGTGCCTCTGGGAACACATCGTCCGCGTTTGCAAGGATTCCATGAGCAGGCAGGTAGTTCTGTAATAATGATACTTCGTTGTTACCATATGAAGAACTTGCTACTTCAGATGACATTTGACGGTTTACCTGATGGTGCGTCTCAGACAGACCTTGTGTTAGGTACTCGGAGGCTGGTCTAACTAGTCCCACAGGAGCCACAAAAATGGACTTACTTGTTTCACAAAGATCACCAGTGTACTCCCGAGTACAACTGCAACTAAACGGGTTCATTGTGGAGTTGGTATTCCTGCATATTCCACCGTTTCTGCATGGTTTGTGCCGGGCACAATAATCCAGGTCTGCAAGGGAGAAGACACCGGTCTTCCTTTGAAGCACGTGAGCTCGAATATCTGAATATCTGAAGGTTCCCCACCCCATTTGATGACGGATAAACTAATTAGGGTGCTGTCTAGGTTGGCTATTTATTTGGTGAATCCAATCTAGTTAAGCGTGTTGGAAGTGAGGGAACCAGGATTGTGCAGAAATACTTCCTACTGTGCCTATGATTGGCACCCGGTTTGTTCAAATCACATTTACTTTTGCTTATGAATTTCTTGATGACAATGCAACTGAAGGAATCCATGTGACCTGTACACCCGCCAATGCGAAAACAGGCAAGGGACCGACTTCTGTTACTCACCTTGGTCACAAAAGGGACCACCCCAGTTGGGTAGACAACGGCACGTGAACGGCGCCTGATCGCACACTCCGTGTTTACACCCGGGATATTTTACACATTCGTCGCAATACGGGCCCTGCCAACCGACCGCACATCTGCACACAGAGAAATGAGAGCCATGCAGACAATTAGAGATTGTGTTGTGTACAGCGTGTTTCGCAAATTATGTTCGAAACTACTACAGTGCACAGCCCTACTTCTTGTATTATAAGCCTAGCCAACTTTTGATGGGAGTCGTAGGTCTTGCGTAATGTTGACTGTGGTTTATAACCGCTGAGATCTAATAGAACTTTTGTGGTATTAGACAGGACTGCAAATTAGAGTAGTATGTTGAATTTCCTCAAACTCGACACTCTGCTATCCCCATACAGGCAGTTTGTCAGCTTAGTAACTTCCAAAGTACCGATGTGACTATATCACCATTCTCTCCGTCGCCTTACCACATCCTAGAATAGTTCAACATGGTGTGCTAGAAATTCTGGAGTAACCGGTTCTTATGGAGAAAGATGACCGCTAACACTGACGACAGAGTTTATTTCCCTCGCATACAACAACGCACTTCTACGATTCATCTAGATTGTGTGCAAGCTAGTGTTTGGAATTCACATAAATTAAACCCACTTTGAGCGAAACATGAGGGTAATGAACTGTGATGACACCATAATTTTTATGCACCACTGCCAGCATGGATGAGTTCACTAGTTAACGCGGAGCCTTTGAGGGGATTAGCACATTACAGGTGTTTTTCTTTTCTGTACCTCGGTTTAGCATATGAAGCGGACTTCACAGTTTCGGAGAAACTTCGACTCACTCACTCGCACTCTCCGGGTTGGCTGCAACGTCCATGCGTTGAATGGCAGCCCATTTTGCACATGGCTGGAATACGATAACACGAAATGGTGTATAGCAAGTATTAGTAAACGTTCATGGATTTCTGACAGATACAGGAAATCATGAATGATCTATATAACTTAACATCTCTATTCGCCGGATAGAATGGAAGGGTAGGTCGGAATTTCGCAGGGGGTTAAGTACTTTAGTTGTAAGTCTCTGTCACCGGTCTGGAACAGACGGAGATATGAACAGCTCTGCCTGATCACGAAGATTTTAATGATATTTGAATAAGTAAACGCTCCCAGGGATTCAGAATGTCATTGGAGTCATTTATCCTAAATGTAATTCAACGATTGCAACCTTATCCCAGAACGCATGCTGTCACAATTCTAAACAAACCCATTCAACTTACTGTGAAGTGCGTGTGCAAATCACTCGTTATTGTTAATCAAGTGCACTTGGCGGAATGTTTGATTCCTGAAGCCTATGTTCGAATGCTTATCCGGGACCAGTTGTTGGCGGTTGGTACAATGGTGTGAAAGATATTCACTGTAACAGGGGCTTCTCACTTAATAAACGCAAAGAGGAATGCATCGTTCTTCGATGTGTGATCTAGGTTGGCGTCTAACATTTCCCGTATGTACGCCAGGTGCTTTGGGTACTGTATGGCGTAACCAGTTAATCAATCAAGTGACCCAATCCTGAGCATCTAATTGCGACCTACCGCTAAACAAGTCAAATGAAAGCTGACACATATAGTAGTGTTTTACCACCAAGCTTGCGCAGACAGGCGCCAGTGGTTTAATTTGAGTCTTAGAATGCAACCTGTATCCAAAAATCCCTTAGTTCCGGTTACTGTGAATGTACAATCAGGAACCTAATTTCTTCGCACATATGGGACCTCAGCTTGCCCAATCATACTAGCACACAGCGAAAAGTAACCTCGGAGTCATCATAGTGGTGAAGGTGTACTACTCACTACGCTCGGAACACGTACGTCCCCAATGTTGCCAGCGTATGTGCAACATTATTAATGAGTAACAGGGCAATTTATTGGGTTTTGATGAAGATTCGCCGTAGATAGACTCAGGCAGACAACCACCACAAATCCAGGAGGGCGATTGACTGCCGTTCAGTCCTACTGAATTCTTCGTATTAGAAACGAATCTTAATCAAAACCCAATAAATGCCCCTACTGCACACTATTTATTGGTAACAATCTTAGCGGTTTACATGTCACCTCCATTGGTGGCGGCTTACAAAGCACCTGATTACTCTGGGGTCCAGTCCTATCCTCTACACGTTCATAATCTACATGACAGCGGAGGATGAGACGCGCTCTGTCGCAGTTAAATATCAGTCATGACGGTCTGCTGTCCTCACCCATGGCTCAGTGGCATAAGTCGCAGAGTCGTAAGAGTGAGGTCGTGCGCGCTACTAGCTTGATCCAATAAGATTAAAAGGCCTTCTAACGCTCTTCTGGATGTGTGGTGGCGGTTTATCTGAAATCTAGATTTGACGAATCTTTACCGAAATGCAACTTTATGTTGAATATTGTCCGTCTTCAACTGTGTAATTCGTCAGCAGGCCTGTCTTTAATAGGCTAGTCAAAATAGGCTCAGATGATTTTACATCTGAACACTCAACCCGCTGCCTCTTGGGTGATATGGTCCCTAGTCTAACCCGACCCTGTGAAACACCTTCCTGACGGCGACTTTGACAATCACACGGTGTTAAATCTCTTTGCTCTTTTCTTTCCAGTGTGTTTTCTTGTGCTTGGATGTAAGACCTTTTTGTTGGACTAAGTTCTGGTCGGTTAACTACTCTGTTCCAAATGCATGCTGTTTGCACAAAAGCTCAAGTGCAACTATTTGAGATTAGAGTGGATGGCGATTACCACAGAAAGGACAACACATACCCTTGTCATTGTGCTTCTCGGCTACTGAACTGTACGAATTTTGGGAGCATTTTCACCATACAGGTGCGTATTCTGTTCGTATTTAATTTATTTCATTATGACTGGACCTTGCCTGTTCTTAGTCTTCATTGACGACCTAGCAAAAGTTATCACCTTAAAGCTTTTGCCCTTCGCGGACGAGATTAAGAGTTGGTGGGCGATAAACGGTTTAGATGACAATGCCATAATCAGGCGCAATCTGGATGCAGCCTGGAATTGGTCAGTGAGGAACACGCTGCTAGCCACATTAAATAAATGTGTATAATTGCCGACTTGTTCACATCCGCCATTGGCATACCTTCATCTACAGGGTTGATACGCACGCTCTCGAGAACTCACAGGAAGATAATTGCGATGGGCTGGTACAGGATGAACTCGGTTGTTCCTGGCGGTCTGATTTCGCTTCATAATGTGGTAAACGGCATGTTTGTCTCATGCGGAGAGCATTCGATAGTTGGGATTCATCCAGTTTCTTTCTGAAGATCAATGCCTGCTTGCGCCCCCAGGTCGAAAATGACATCCAGGCTATGGCAAAAGAGTGACCTCACAGTACTCGGGACTCCATAACGTCCCGCAAGGAAACTTGGTAAGCGTTTGCGCAACCTTCAGTACTATGAACGAAGTAAAAGTCTCCGGGGGTTCAGTGGATGCTATCGATGTTTACCTGGAGACGTCATATTAGTTTGCCATATACGGAGAGATCCCGGTCACGTATGCTGGCACCTTTTGCAACAGCCCCAACACGAACCTGAGAGGTGTTAGCCTGAAAATGAGTCAAAAATACAATCGTCTAAATTGTCGAAGAATTTAGTTCTCCTTTCCTCGTCTGCCAACCCTGGGACGCCCTTCGAAACTCAGTTGTCTGTGCCACCTCCTTAGCCATAATCAAAAAAAGATTGGATATCGCACTGCGTCCCATACAGATTTACTTGGCCGGATATACTGGGATATATTCAGAGTACCTGGTTTCTTTTGAACTGAAACCCATAGTTATGCATGTAAATCTGTACAGAGGGTGGGCAACCTGACCGTCATTTGCTATAATCATTAACCATAACAACTCGTCACATCACTTTGTATGGCGTATCAGCTCGTTCCCACAAACTTACTTATATATGCCAGCAATATACATTCACCGGTTCATATTTTACTTGTTTTACATGTTTATTTTCCGAATTTGTAATTTCTTCTAACACCAGCCTACGGAACGTATTCAGCTTATGCTTTTTCTCCGGTCCTAAATCCTTTTTCCATTGTTTCATCGCTTTTGTAAGGAAAATCGGTGCCTGCACAAATCAGCGGATTTGGGCGCTCCTTCCTCGCCGTCATGACACTTTGCAAGTAAAAGTAACTTTAAAATATAGGCTTCTAGAGCCGGCACAAAATACCGAAGCGTAACAATATAAGCTGCACATCTTGCAGGGTTACTGCATGTCCCCACACACTTTGAGTGGAAAGAAACAAGTAGAATTGATGGTTGCTAAATATGGTTGCATATGGAGATTGGTACTCGTAGTTACGTAATAGATATTGAGTTCCACAACACAGTAGATGGTTAGCGGTCCGAGGTTGGTCGCACAACTGACTAGTCTTTTTAGAGCTTGTAATCAGCCATTTGGCCAGTCTCAACCACTAATGCAGTCACATTGACATATTATGTTTATCGAAAATGCGATTTTCTCTTCCTCTGTATAACTACAGTTGAGGCTACTATCGATTTAAGGTATCATGCTTTGCTCTCAAGATTAAACTGGATGAAGTGACATCACGTTTCTTTCCATAACGACTGAACAGGGTGTTGTTTGAGCTTAACATCTAGCAATCACTTACCGATATCACAATTTGTTCCACTCCAGCCCGGTTCACAAACCTTGTCCCCGTTGGCGTCGCAAGTGTATTGCGTACTGTTCTTCAAGCAGAGCTTTGTGCATGTGTTGTTATACAAGTCCGGGCGACAAGCCAGACGCATGCTGAATGTGTAACCCGAAAACTGTGTGGCGGTTGTCACGTGATGCCACTCGGACGGTTGACCTTTGACTGGGTCTATGGCGTTTGCGACTGGTCTCAGCAGGCTATGGTGAACAATCCTGCTGATCAGATACTTCTCGTCCATATTTTGCAAATCATAAGCCTCCAGAATAACAGTGAATGAGCGCTGAAGTAAAAAATATACATAACTTTGAATCATCATAGAAAGTTACTACAGTAACAAGACAACGGAGGTATTTCCACCTGGTAGCACAGTCGACCAAATTATCCACTTAAGCAGTCAAGTTAACTCTACGCATGAATCTCTCTCTAGTATATACCTGATTATACGCCCAAAGTAAGCTATTAGTTATTTAGGCTGTAGATAATGTAGGCGGTCCGCTGATGTTACCGAGTTGGTGACCATTGATAGTACTGATTATGCATGTCTTCCGTATGGATTGATAATGTAAAGTGAAGCCACTTTATGTGATCTTTAGCTTACTTTACTCATCTCAGAAGGAATCTGAACACTTTTGGCATCCGAATATATGGTTGATTTCGGGAGGCCCTTAAGGAATATTCATTAGTGTATATGCAAAAACTATGTTTTTAAGTACACCTAAGCCAGGTTTGGCCCGAGAACACACAAAGCCGTCAACTGGCCCGGTTGGTGGAATACACATCTTCTGTGTCCGGGAAATAGAGGCGTAATTCAGTTAGGTGAACCACCGTGAACACGTAACAGCATTTGCTACAACTAAGGAATTCACGCAAGACAAAGTAACTGATCAGAAGCAAGCGCATGCATTCGTCCAATGACCATTAAATGAGTGTACGGACCCATGGTGGTTCAACAGCGAGAATAATCCTTATTGCGACTGTAAAGCGTAATTTGACAGCACCGCAACATTGCTCCTGTCTGTTCAGTGTTCCAAAGCAAACGTTACATTTTATTCCAGTTTCATAAAGGAGGAAGATGTTTAAAAGCAACAGCATCAAGGAATTCTTGGTCAAAAATATCAGGGTAATGGGATCACTGATCCAATAATGGGCTGGATGGTGCCCTACACCTCCGACGCCGTATAATTGTAAGGGTTCGTGGTGCCTTGTCTTAGGCGAACTGTCCATTTCCTGCCAAATACCTATAGCTTACATACACCCTTACGTAGTATATGCAGTTCAAGCATGGCACCCATGGTTAAAGCGGAATCTCGCTGTCTTGGAGCTTCCGCAACGTCGGGTGACCAAAAATGTCAAGGGGCTACGCCACACCTAAAAGTGTTAGGCATTTTCATTGGACGCTATCGCGTTTGCACAGTGACGCAATCATGGTAACAGAGACGTAAGCGGAGCTAAAGTTGGGTTTCGACTGAGAATTGACCGGCCAGAAATTACCAGTCCGCGTAAAACAAATTGAACTATACCGTCAATATGATAAACCGGGGAGTGGAACTCACTCACACTGGCTGAAAACCGGACGCACAAAAATGAGCGATCTTGACCTCCTAAATTAGCATGTTTCGGCTACCTATAAATACAGTTAAATTATGGTGTAGATAGACTCCCTGTTTACCGAGCCTTGATCTTCTGTATTCCGTCGGTTGGGTTGGCGCGTGACTGAGAAATCAGACAGTCGCAGTCTCATAGGGCAGCTAGCAACAGTACAACAGTCGTCAGTGGCAGAGAACAGGGGTAAAGTAGAAGCGTTACAAAACATGGCTTATCCAATTTTAAACAGCCCGAAGCACCCGTGCTGAGTCACAAGAACAGATTGAGGGGTCATCATCTCAAATTGGTAGAACAATGTAGTTTTTTGGCGTGTCGAAGAAAGTTCTCGCTACATGTTTGTCGAACATGGAATACCTTCTCAGAAGCTGCAATTTCAGCACCTAGGTTGACCGTGTTCAAACCCTGTTCAAACGATTCACACAAACAGCAGCAGAATAAAAACAAATCAATCCACTTCCATTTTTGCCTGGAAACCACAGACGATGACCTTAGATAATACATAAAATTAAGTGTGGACCGCTCGAATGGGGAACACTAACCGGCAAGTTAGCAATTTGTGGTTATTCACTACCTCTTGTTGCCAGGTTTTGCCTTAATATTGCTCACTCCTATCCGATCATCCGGCGGAACATGTCAATCTTCGGCTTCTTTTTCTCCAAAATAATATACCACTGACCATTTACCATTGACCGATAGAAAGGCATTGTGGAGTTCCACTTAGCTATATACTAGGGTCACTCTTATTCCTGTTGCATAGCAAGATCTCCATCAACAAAAATGTACTTTTCCTTCCTAATATCCTATTTATGGGAGGGTCATCAAAACAATAGAGGACCACATGGCACTGCATGGTGGCATCTACAAAGGTCAACAATGAGCAGCTCGTAACATGCTCCAGTTTAAAACTGTAGCAGACCTCATCGGATTGCCTAGAATTGTCGGTTAGAAGCCCATCCTACAAAGCGCGCTTACCACGAAAGTGATCTTAAGATGGTCATACGGGAACTTTTCGACTGGTCAAGACAGAAAGAAAAAGTAGCAAGTAAAGCTAGCCGACACTTCGGTCTACTGCGGAGGACATCTGACCTGTCTGGTCCCAAAAACCTTACTTGAAAGTTCGAAGCTTATGTGTTGGCCCATGCGCAATCTAGATCTTGCACTTCTGACAAAATTATTGCCTCACTGCTCTTGCTTCTCCGCATTGAACAGCAAATAAATATCTTAGAGGCTTGCTTCTTCTCTCTTATCAATCCAGATTCTAAATCATAAAAGCTCTCAACTGACAATCTCGTCGTCAATGTGGTTATGTTTTCTTGGTATATCAGACTCTTATCCACCTCAGACACACATACTGCTATATATGGGAAATCAACCATTGAACCTCACTGAGAGATCGCGATTTTAAACTGGCTGCACAAAATATGTGGTTGAAGCACTGCCGAAACTTTCTCACACTTAGTGTGTAAAAGTTTAGTAAAATGCTTTTCCATTTATATTAGTTTTGCCCTTACTCTGACCGAATTCGTAACTCGACCTGGTGACGCATCACACTGCCTAAATTGTATGATTTAATCCCATCTACTGGAGCACAGTATTAACTTGCAAAAACGTGTGCAAAAACAAATAGTACAGTTAATCTACGGATACGTGTTTTATTGATAAATCTACTCTCTGTTTATACTCTTTTCATCTACGTAATTTGGTATTCATTTGCCCTTCGAACGTGATAAATCTAGTGTTACACTGTTCGTGTTAGTCCGGTGATGGCTTCGTTTCGGATGGTAAAAACAGCGGCTAAAGCCGCTTAGTCCTTGCATCTTACAGCCTGCACTGACAGTGACTCAGTAAGTTAGTTGGTCACTTATTGACAGTCAGATGTCGTCCCACATTAGCCGAGAGAGAAGTGGCACTCAACCATCATCAGTCCGCCAACTGTCCAAATTTATTGTCGTCAGAACAGGCCGACCAACTGCGGCTACCATGCCATATGGGCTAGGACTGCATTTGTGAAGAAAACTACCAAAGAGGTCGCTTAACTGCCGCGTAGTAATTACATTTCTACTTGAGAGTAACTATTCTTTGAAACACCATAAATTATCCACAGGAGATGTGGTCGGAGCTGAACTACGGAAACCGGAGTATCATAGCAACGAGCAAGTTGATCTTAACGTTGCAATACGGCCAAAAACTGTAGTTTCCTAGCTGTTGAAGAATATTTTGCATTCGACCTCTCCATATTTCAACTTTGCAATTGTTTTCTAGGGTGCACGCGATCTGGCGAGCTTTCTCACGGGCGGCATTTCAGTGCTTCGAAAACGAGCAAATTGAACTGCTGTGAACGAGAATTGTTTGGCCTAGCCTGAAAACGATAGCAGCTTTCGTAATAATGCTGTTCGGTGACGTCCGTCAAATTCCGACATGCTTGTTGCCATAGAAGTCGCAGAAACCCTGTGCCCAGCAGGGGACTATTAACACCTGGCGATTCACCAACCACAGCTTGTACGGCACATACATACCACCGATAAATGCGAAGGGCTTAAATCTTCCCATGAGCAATTCCGATCATGAAACAACTCACCCACACAAACCCCGCTACACTGCACGGTGGGTGACTTGGGGTCAGTTCCATACTGCAGCTATGGTTGAGTGTGTCGCTGTCACTGAGACCGTGCCTCATGTCTAACTCGTCTGCGATTCGCAGTCTATACACTTTCTGAGTCAAGTTAGTTAATAGAGGAAACGAATTGGTTCGTAAGCATTTAAAATTTGCTTCGTAAGCATTTTCAACTCGCTACATAAGCAGTTTCAAGTTGGTGCATTTCAGTTTGGTTTAAGTGCACACGCTCACCGTCGAGTAGCTTCCTCATACGTCAGACGCCGTCGGTCAACAGGATGCCGTGGGGCACTGTAGAGCAAGTGTTCTCAAACTTTCCGGCACGTATATCCCTTTGTAGTGTAACCTAACACGACGGACCCCTTGAGCTTTTCTTATCCACAGAACTAGGCTTTACTAACATAAGAATTAGGTGGAGCTCATCGCTGTACTCTGGATTTGCACAGCTGTTCATTTATGTTGACAAAAGTGAAGGCTGTTGAACTTACATGGAAATGCAACTATATTAAGGCTTAATGCCTTGGATAAAATTCATTCCGATATGCAGCGTTGATTTGTTTGGTGCTAGCTGTTATTGAGGAAAGCTATAACCTCGTATCTCGTTACGCTTCAGGTTTGTTTCGATACTTTGTTCTGTATAGATATAATGCGAGAATGCAATCTCACACAGCTAACTTGTGGCAAATGGGCGAAGCACAGCGATAGCTGTTTACCATGACAAGGTACATATCGTTCGCTTTGCATCAGAAATCACACACAGACAATCTGTGAAAAACTTTTTGGAAGGAAGAGTCTTAGGTCATCTCCATGCCATTTGTATGCACGGCCGGATACGTTTCTCAATTCTGTTGTTAGCGCATTACGATAACTATGTTAGATGTTTCCGTAGCATATTTTTAATCTACGACTCGTGAATCATGTACGTTTGGGTGTACAATATTTCATCTCGCATGCGCTGTAAGTACTTTTTCTGTCTTTACAGTCCATATGAATTTTTCAAAATGCCGCTGCATTTTAATAGGCACCATGTTCAGAAGAACTTTGTTACACAAGTCACCTTG